GTCACAATGTATTGCGTTAGTCGTATTTAGGTTTATCACATCTTTTAAACATAATAAAAAGTTTTCTATAGTGTCGAAACTAATTGTGTGGCGGCAAAATTTTTGGAAAAGAATTTTTGTACGTTTGTTTACAGTTGCACCTTTTCACAAAATCAGCTGGGTTTTGAATTGATTTACTGGGGACTTTATTGTTTTAATTACGTAACTGAGAGATTGTTCACTATGTATTGTTTCACTCAATTCACTAAGATTATTAATGAAATGCCTAGAAAGGGCATCAGCCACTATGTTTTCCTTCCTGGCTATAATGGAAGTTGGTGAAAACTCCTCAACAAAGGCACGCTATCTTTCATTTAGTATTTGGATTATTTTGGAAATTGAAAATATAAGTGGTTGATGATCGGTAAAAATGTGTATGTTTTTAATACCATATAGATAGTTACGGAGAGTTTTAAGCCAAACTATAGCTAGCATTTCGCGTTCATTTGTAGCATAATTTTGTTCAGTTACGGAAAGAGTACGCGAAATCATTGTTATGGCCGATTATGTTGGATACACTGCACCCAAAAGTTAGACGAGCGCGTCGGTCGTTAATTCAAATGGTTGATTATAGTCAGATATGTAAGAGGACATCTTTCGATGAAGGATTTTCTTGATTTTAACAATGCAGACAAAGCTTCTGGATCTAGAGTGATTTTATTTTTTTTTGATGTATTTGTTCCGACGTGACCATTTTCCCTCGTAAATATTTTGTTAAAGGCTTAACAATGGCGGCATAATCCTTGACGAATCTACGATAGTAGCCTGCAAGGCGAGGATAGAGCGCAAACCGCGTAACGTCTCTGGTGTTTGTAATTAATAATATCCCTATCTTACTAGACAAGTCTTTTATCCATTTTGCGAGACTAAGAATCCAGAAACTCGAGTTCCGTTTTGAAAACTGTGATTTTTCAGACGACACCCTCATTCCTGACGCTTCTAGTTTTTTAAATGGTATTGACATGAACTAAATGTGATTCCGCATCGGGAGAAAATATGATGTCAT